CCCGGCTTTCGCTAAGAGACTGCCTCCGTAGCCGTTTCCGGCTTCCACAGACACGCGCGGGGAATGTCCGGGCCCCGGGAAAGCGAGGGGGGAAGGAAAGCAGAGACTCCGCTCGGGTGTGTCCAGTTCTCGCCCGGCTGGCCCCAGCGCCGCTCCTCGAGTCCGCGGAGCCACCTAGAGCAGTGACGCACTCGGGGATTCCCGGATCACCCTTCCTCAATGTTGTTGTTTAAAAGCCCCGGCTTACCGCCCCCATCCTTTTTCACCGCCCACCGGTTCGGAGGACGCCGGACCTTGTAGTCCAGAGTGCCTTCTTTCTCCGCATTTCCCAAGCTGAGACGCACTGGGAAAACTACCACTCCCAGAAAGCAATGCGCCCCGCCTCTGCGCCTGTGCCAAGTCCTGTCAGCAAAGCGAGGCCAGAGTGGGCGGGACGTGAAGGACTATGGGGAAGAATTCGAAATCGGAAGGCTGTCATTCCAGGGAAGAGCAGCTGCCACTGCCCAGTAAGTGGGAGGGTCTTCCTTTCTCAGCGTCGGCAGAGACAGGGGTTGGGGGGCGCGGCCTGGCCGCAGGCACTGCATTCTTTCGCCGGTCGGTAGCCGCGGTGACGGTCAGTGCGGACGGTGGTTGCTCGCTGTGCCCGGCGCTCTTGGGACTCAGAGCTGCAGCCCGCTCGGGTACACGGGGAGGGTGGCCCGGATGAGGTCTGCGGGGTCCGGAAAGGATGGAGCTCCCCGAGAGCTCGTCTGAGCCCGGCAGCAACTCCCCCTGATTGTTGCCCTGGGAGTCCTCCTTCCAAGTGACACTTCCGAGAGGCTCAAGCACTGACCTAAACCCGGCCGGAGGGGTAATTCGGCAAAGCTTGGTTCAAAAAGAGAAGGGGCAGAAGAGGCGTAGTCTTCCAGCCATCCAGGCGAAGCTGGACCTAGAAGAACGATTCTGTCTGGGATTTCAGGAACCTCGTGAAGGCCTCCCGACTGTCAAAGCCTAAAGCCCTTCCTTGCCAACTGTGGAATGCCTGTCATGGAGGCATTTCATCCCCCAGTGAGATCCTGGGAGAAGTAGCAGACATTTAAATGTTAACGTTCTCCGAATACAGTAAGTTCTTTTCAAGGACGTGGTGGAATGGCTTTGGTTTGTATTGGTGGAGTAGGGAGGCAGAATCTACCAAAAACTTGCTCCTGACTCATCTTGTTTTGCCTGCTTGTTTTCTTACTTCCCGGAACCCTCAAGAGGAAGTCCTCTATTGACCACAAATATCGCCGTCCTAACCACCACATGTGGATCGTAAACAACCCAAAGGACACATGCCACCGTGGTCTTGGCAAGTCCAGAGACACAGTCGAGCAGCACATCTAGGAAAGGCAATTGTTATTAGCTGAATTCAAGGAAGTATTTAGCTGTCTCTTGACCTCTCTTCCCTCGCAGGCACCCCTCCCCATTATGAAACCAAGTCCAAAATGGAATAAACTAATTTTAAGTAAACATGAGCTGTCTTTATGAGGAAATGTAGCCATGGGTGGTGATGTGCCCAGCTGCACTTAAAACTGATTTGGGAATCTACAGTATTCACCTTATGTAAATTAGATGAAACTGGACTTTAACTCTTTAGCTACATGTTATATCTGAGTTATAAACATTGTTTATAGTTGTAACCTGTACTTGATGACCTCAGTAACTGTTATCTTTAGCTCATAATTAGCTAAGTAAAAGGGATAATTTCAAGGGGGCAGTACTAAACTTAGAACTGAGTGGAATACTGCTATGTGTCACTTAACAATGAGGACACACTCTAAGAAATGCATCATTAGACAATTCTGTCATTGTGTGAACATCAGTGTACTTACACACCTAGCTAGTGTAACCTGCCAGGCTGTATGGTGTAGCCCATAGTTTCTAGGCTACAACCTGTACATTATGTTACTGTATTGAATACTATAGGCTGGGGTCCCCAACCCTGGTGCCACAGAACAGTGCCTGGCCTGTTCATTCCCCACACCACACCACACCACACCACACCACATCACATCCTCCACCCAACACACAGCAGGAGACGAGTGGTCTGCAAGGGAGGCTTGTTTGTGTTTGCACGTGCTTCCCATTGTTTGGACTGTGCCTTCTGTCACATCAGCAGCCATATTAGATTCTCACTGGGGCAAACCCTACTTTTTGTTGTGTGGTTATTTCATTGTATATTACAATATGGTAGTGTTGGAAATGGAGTTTACAGTGGATGTGGTGTACTTGGGTCATCCTAGAACCTTCCTACACACACCCATACATGGAGGAATCATCTTCCATCAGGCCAGTCCCTGGTGCCAGGAGGGTCAGGGACTGCTGCTATAGGCAACTATAACGCAATAGTATTTGTGTATCTAAACACAAATTTTTTTAAAAAATGGTGTACCTGTATAGAGCATTTACCAAGAATGGAGCTTCTAGGCCTGGAAGTTGGTCTGGATAAGTCAGGGAGTAACTGGTGAGTGAATATGAAGTCCTATGACATCACCATACACTACTATAGATTTTATAAACACTGTACACTGTGATTACTCTAAATTTATTTTTTTAATTCTTCAGTAATAAATTAGCCTTCGCTTACTGTGACATTTTTACTTTATAAACTTCAGGGGTTTTTTAAAGAATTATTTTATTTAACTTTATTTATTATTACTATTATTATTTTCCAGGTTGATCGGAGAGAGACAGAAAAAGAGAGAGAGGGAAAGTGAGAAAGCAAGCCATCAGGTCCAGGACTTGAACTGCTGTCAGCCATGTTGGAGTCCAGCATCTTTAACCACCACACCATCTGCCAACCCCAAACTATTTTTTTCAACTTTTTGACTCTTCCAGTAGCATTTAGCTTAAAACATGAACATATTGTACAACCATACAAAAAAATTGTCTTGCTTTATATCCTTATTCTATAAGCTTTTATCCATTTTTAATTTTTTAAAAACTTTTTTTTTTTCTTAAAGACCAAGACACTAACACACACATTAACCTAGGCCTACACAGGGTCAGCATCATCTGCATCAAGTGTCTTCCACTTCCTTATCTTGCCCCACTGAAAAGTGTGCAGAAGCAATAACATCCATGAACCTTTCCTTCTGGTCTACCTCCTAAAACCTGCCTGAGGCTCTCCTTGAGACAGTGCAACTCTTTTCAGAGATATGTTCATGGTGGTTTACTTGGTTTACTTCTTTTTCATCATCATAGATTTGCTTGTAAGCAAATAACATGCCTATTATCTCTTTTTTTAAATAGACCATAGGTTAGTTTATTTTTAACACCCATCATGCCATGAATTCATAGAGAGTAGGTTTCAGTAGCTCAGTCTCCTTTCCATAGGTTCTCACAAAGTGTGCTTCTCTGGGCAGAGCAGGCTGGCACTTTAGTTGAACTCAGAAATCTTTCTCTTTGACTTCCTTCTTTTTCTGGTCATTTTCCTTCATGCATTTTAGGAAGCTATCTCTGCTCTTGGAATACTTAATATGCTCAATACCCACATTAATTCTCTTGAAAGAATCTTGCCCTTAACTTGTTTGTTTACAACAATGTCAACAGCATGCTGGGTAACATTGTAGACTCTTCCAGCTTTGCCATGGTAACATTTGTGGGGCATCCCTTTTTGAACAGTACCCATTCCCTTGATGTCTACAATATCACCTTTCTTGTAGATTCGCATATATGTTGCTAGAGGAATCACTCCATGTTTTCTAAAAGACCTATTCTCTCCCTTTGTGTTTGTCATTTTGGTGAATTACTGGAAAGAAGTCATGCCTGTTATCTCTTAATGAAAATCTTCCAGTATTGGTGTCCATGTTTTCAAACATTTTAGGGAGCTTGTTGAAGTCTGCAAAGTTTCTGCTAAACCCATCACTGTGAATTTTCTTGGGAGTTCTTCTTTTCCTTCTCTTAAATTTTCCTTTTCTCTTGCCTGTTCTTTAGCTCTGTGTTACAATTCCAGTTCCAACAGCCCCTCAGTAGACAGTTCCTCAGAAGTGTCTAGATGTTCCTCAATGTCATTCTCATCCATAGACAAGTTAAAGTTGTTTGCCATCTCAACCACCACCTTGTAGATTCCTGCAACCTCGTTCTTAGCAATTTCTTTGAAGTCATGGATGAACCTCTTAAATGTCTCTTTTCCAGTTGCCATTCATACACTCCTTAGCAGAATCACTCCCTGATGAAGCAAGGTCATGATGTAGTTAGAGATGTTGTAATCCTTCCAGAATTTTATCAGTGTCTTTTTAGTGTCCTTAGTTGCAGCAATAGATAAGGCAAAGGTCCTCCTCAGGTATGTGGCCTTAAAAGCTGTCATAACTCCTTGATCCGTTGTTTGTACCAAAGAAGTGGTGGTCAGAGAGAGAAACTCCTCTTTGATATCAGGATGGAAATCATGAATAAGAGGAGGATGTGTGGGCATATTACCAACAATAAGCAAAATCTTTAAAGGTTATGTTGTTCTCTGAACAGTAGTTCTTCATTTTGCTTACATAACAGTTCAGGATGGCATCTTGGAAGAGGAGCTGGGTTCTTCATGATTTCTTATTGCTCCTGTCGTATACTGGGAGTGTGTGCATGCTGTTATGCTTGAAGAGCCTGTGGTTCTCACTGAACCAAATCACAAAGGGTTTCAACAAGTCCAGCCTGCACCATTGCCCTCGAGCAAGACTGTCTTCCTTTCTTTCTTTTCTTTTCTTTTTTTTTTAAGATGTTTTTGTTATAGGGCACGTGCGCTCACCAGAAAGACACAGAGAGACAGAAAGCAAGAAATCACCCCCCAGGGGGATGGCCACACCACAATCTCTTCTCCTCCATTCTCTTCTTGGGATCTTGGGCGTGCATGCACACACACCTGGCGTGAGTTTAAGCCAATGGGTCCGGGACTCAAACTGTGGTTGACCACATGGGAGTCCAGTGACATAGCCATTATGCCAACTGCCGGTCCCATGTCCCCCTTTCTTAAAAGCCCTGACACATGACATTGACTTGGCCAGCCTGATGGATGAAAGTCTTTTCCAGCATCTATTTCCTTAAACAGTGAAGATTTTCTCTGGCAAGTCTTCCACACTCAGTTTATGTGGACTTTCCAAAAATTCTTCAGTTGTCTTCCCATCAGTACTCACAGATTCACCACACACTTTCCCATTATGTAATAAATAAGGATTCTCAAATCAGTATAAGTACCCAGAGCTAGCAGTAAGTTCCACATCATTGTAGGGTTCAACCTTTTTTCTTTTTTTCTTTTTTCCAGCACCACAAGTGTTTTGCTTTGGCCAGGATATCCTGGCGAGGGGTATACTTCTAAGTCAGGTCTTCAACCCCGGTCATGAAGAGTTCCTCCATACATGCTATAGACCCTAATCACGTTTTTGTCCGTTTCGTTGTCTTTAAGGAAGCAGATCTTTCAATAGCTTCTATCACTTTTTTCTTTTTCTTCAAGATTATAGTGATGTTGGAATGGGACATGCCTGACTAGTGAGCAGATTTTCCACCTTTGTAGTCCTGAATCACTTTTAATTTTGTTTTCAGGTCACTTGCTCAACATGGCCCCTTACTGGTGAGATTAGCAGTGGATTTCATACACTTGAGGCGGTGGTGGACAAAACAGCATGAGAGCAAATCAAGCACAAGAGAAAAGCGTGCCATCAAAGGAGTCGGTAAAACAGGATGTCTGAGGCTGCTGCCCGTGTAACACAGCCCATGCTTGTATGGGAAAGTGTCGTGTTTGTAAGTAGAGGCGCACACTCTAAAATAATGGAGAAAAGTACGGTAGGGTAAGCACACCAGTAACACAGTCGTTTATTCTCATCAAGTGCTGTGTGCTATACGTAATTACATGTACTATATTTTCACACGACCAGCATTGTTGGTTTTACAGCCGCACTGCCATGGACATGTGAGTGAAGTGTTATGCTATGACAGCATTTCCATGGCTATGACATCATTAAGCAACAGGAATTTTCAGCTCCCCTCTAATCTTCTAAGCCCCTCTTCATACATACAATCTATCTTTGATTGAAAGTTCCTATTGCATCACATGACTATTTGAGATTTTGTGTGATCACCTGGATCTCATCCTCTTGTCCATTTCAAGTGTATCTGTGGTGAGCACCTACACATTACGTATAAGCAGATAAATAATTCTTAGATAAAATACCAAAGGTTGGGAATCAGCAGTTAGCATAATGGCTATGTCGCTGGACTCCCACGTAGTCGACCGCGGTTCGTGTCCTGGACCCGGTGGCTTAGAACTCACGCCGGGCGCGTGTGCTTGTGTGCCCAAGATCCTGAGAGGAGAGTAGAGGAGAAGGGATTGTGGCGTGACCATCCCCCTGGGGGGGTGATATCTCGCTTTCTGTCTCTATGTCTCTCTCTGTCTGTCTGGCGAGCACACGCGCCCTATAGCAAAAACCTCTCCCAAAAAAAAACAAAGGTCCAGCAGGTTTATGATTAATTCACACACTGCAGATGAAGAACTTATGACAGGGCATCCATTCCCACTGAGAGCAAATATTCAGGAGCTTAATAAGATTGACCCACACACATTTTCAAAATTCCTCTCAATAAATACATGAATGAGTTCCCACAATAGTCACTGCTAACATCAAACTCAATAAATAGGTCTGACATGGAGAATCATTTCTCTTTTTTTAGATAACGTTCTCTGGGACCAGAAAAAAACCAAAACATTTGGAAACAAACTCATTCACTAAAAATGATAAAAAAGAAGGCAACAAACATGTCAAGCGTCTCCCATGTGTAATTCGGATAGAAGATGAAGTGTGTTAGTCTTACCCTGTTAATCCTTTAGGGACACAGACTGGACCCATTTTACAGACTGAGAAGCTGAATTCAAGAAAGTTAAAGTTTTGTTTTTTTTTTAAATCATCCCCAGAAAGTATCTGACTCAGCTTTGTATTTATAGACTGAAGCGATCTGAGATCTGAAGAGACTAAGTATGTTTAAACTTTGCATTTTAGATTACATGTGAGGATAATCTACCAGAGCATCGAGCTATGCCGATAAGTTCTGAGAACAATGATTCAAGAGTTTCTGAGATACACTTGAACCCTGTGAATGCTGAGAAAGAAAAACATGACAGTCAAAACAACATTTTTAATGAGATGCCTCTAGAAATCACTTTAAAAATTTTTAGTCAACTAGACATTCAGAGTTTGTGCAAAGCTTCAATGACAAGCAAAAGCTGGAATTCCATTATAAGAAACTATGACTCCTTATGGAAACCTCACTGCTTGACTGTAAGAGCTGTGTGCCGAAGAGAAATTGATAACGATCTAAAAAGTGGTTATTCCTGGAGGGTAAGTTTAGCCTGTGCAGTCTGCAGTATTTTGACAGTGCTATGGTGGCAGGTTTGCAATAACTTTAACTTTTGCTTAGAGGAGATAGGTTTGCATCATTGCAGAATAACAGTACAGAGCATGTTGACTTTTGGAAATGAGGTAAAGTTGAGGTATTAGTCTCCTGCTAACCTCGCCATCAGCACAGTATCTCCCATCCATCCTTTTACATATTTTTTAAAGTTATTTTTAAGAATTATTTATTTAATTTTATTATTTTTTTAAAATTTGACCAGAGAGAAACAGAAAGAGAAGGAAAGAGAGAAAGCAAGCCACCAGTTCCAGGACTTGAACCACATTTGACAACGTGGTAGTCCAGTACCTGAACTACCATGCCACCTGCCAGCCCCTCTTTTACATATTTTTAAAGTCCTAATGTCAGGGATTTTCCTCTGTTAATCAGAAGGGAAGTGGGTAGTTCTTTTCACTCCAGGAAACTCTGGCCCACTCTGTGGATGTACACTCAGACACAGACACACATGCATATTTATGAATGTGTATCAGTGTAAAAACTTCTCTTTTTTTTTTGAAAGACGTTTTCAGACAAACTCATTAACCAGTTACCTACTACATTCTTTCTTACTAATGATGGTTTACCTCTTCCAGGTAACACTGCAGAGGAATTACCAGAAGAGTAAAGTGAAAAGTGAATGGCTTAGTGGCAGATACAGCAATATATGTTCTCCCATTAACCTTCCGGAAAAAAACATGTGCCCAATGGATGCAGAAACATGGGGGGAAATTCTAGACGCAGAACTGGAAAGATAAGTGAAAAAATCACAAACAGATCTTGTAAGATCTTTGAGAGTTTAAGACTAAATGACTCTGAGGTTGCAAAAGGTGTTCTCTTTATCTGTTCACCTTTTTTTTTTAACCTTTTAAATATTTATCATATAAAGAAAAGTGAAGTAGAAAATATATAATACTTTACTTTCATTTTGCACTTCAGTAAATGTATTTTTCTAGCGTTGGGTAATGTGAAAACTCATGGAATGTTATTTATATAGAAATTAATATACTGATGGAGTGATTTCAAAATGTATTGTTTCATGTCTATCACAATACTTTAAATAATAGAGTTCAATTGGTCTTTCCTGCTTAATGATAATTCAAAATCTCAGGAAACTGAAGAAATTGACTTACTGAAAATTCATCAGCTAGTAGACGTAAGGAGGCTCGTGAGAAGTCTAGCTAAGTAAAATCAATAGCAATATTTCTAAATGAATGATAACTTTGCATTTCAATAATGTGTTAAACCTATAGTATGGTTCAAAATTAATCTGATTTTAGGGCCAAAGCTTGTCATATTAAGAGACCCATCACTTTCCTACAAACTGGGATTGCTCTCAGGGACTGAAAACATGTGAAAGGTTTCCAAGACTCCTAAATACCATCAGAACTGCCCCACTAAATTTTTTTGGTAAAACTTTCTGGCAGCCTTATTGCACCATCTAGTGTACAATTCATAGATACCACAACAAAGGACTTTCAAGCCCTTTTTTCCTCCATCATTTAAAAGAAAAATATAGAGAACCCTTAACACTTAAGGGTTACTAGACTTATAACTTTCCAGGAACTTTATTTTGACTTTTTTTTAATAGAGACTTTTTCTATAAGGCACATGCACTTGCCGGAGAGACAGAGAAAAAGAGACACAGAAAGTGGGAAATCATCCCCCCAGGGAAGAAAGACAAGCTGCGGTCCCTTTTCCTCAGTCTCCTCTTGGGATCTTGGGCATGCATACATATGCATCCAGTGTGAGTTTTAAGCCACCTGGTCCAGGACTCAAATCGCAGTTGATCACATGGGCATCCAGCAACATAACCATTACGTCATCTGCTGGTAAAAGCAGATGCAATAGTATATACTATATCAGATGGCTTATTCAGTTTATTGTTATTGCCATAGTAATCATTCCACAAATCATCTCACGTGGGGATTTTCTTTTTAAGTCTACTCCATAGCACAAAAAATAAGAGCATAAGAAACTAGTATTTAACAAATAGGAAAATATAGGAAAGATGCCCCACCAAATACAAATACTATGTATTGGATCAAGCCGTTGATAATTGGTTGTCTCTAACTATCTTCTTGGAGTTGAAAGAAGCCTTGAAAATCAAGCCAGTCTTCAGGGCTGTTCCTACACTTCCTATGTAGGAACAGACAGTGAGCCAGCGCAAGCTCAGATACTTACAGCAACAGGGTCCCCACACACCACAGAACAGTCCTGTTGTATTCTAGGACTGCTCTGATCATTAGCCGTTCTTCCTCACTGAACGGACAATAACTGGAACATTCGCCTGGTTCCATTCTCTAGAGCTAGACGGGTCGAGTCCTTCTTTATGGTTGTCATTCAGATATCTAAAATCTGCTAATCTGCCCCTTCTTTGTCATCTCCCCAATTCATCCTGCCTATCAGAAAATGTAATTTTTACACCCAACAGTGTTCTTTTCTGCCCATGCTCTCTTTAAAAAGCGTAGTGGAAACAAAGGTATCCTACTGATTTTATTTAATAAAATATGGTAAGAAAGCACTTTGAAATTTGGAAAATGTGAGGAAAATTGAAGCTAAAATGCATTTTCCTGAATAGCACCTGTGTATAGTGTATGTTCCCATATTTTTATCTTTGTGTGTGTGTGTGTGGCAATGGATGTGGGTTGTCTTTGTCCAACTATCTATTGCCTTCATCTGCTAGTAGAGTTCACACTAAATGGGAAGAATTTCCCTTCTTATTCTTCCCAGGCTGGATTTGTTTGTTTGTTTGTTTTTGTTTTTGTTTTTGTTTTACAGTATCCTATCTCTTCAAATCTCTGTTTAGTTCAAAAAGGGAAACATATTCCAAACCATCCTCTTCCTTGAGCTGGAAGAGACATGTCCTTTTCTCTGTGGTGATGAATTTGTTCCCTGACATACAGAAAAAAAGGATCCTCAACAAGAGAATATGGAGTCAGCAGAAAAGAAATGCAGCTGCAGAGGCCTGAGTGTATCTAAGACCCCGGTTCCAGCCATTCCTGGTCTGTTCACTTCAACTATTCAGATCAAGTTTCAGCCTTCACTCTAGGAGCTCCACCTGATGTGGTTTTCTTTGCCTAAATTTCAAATATGTGGTATTTTTGGTTTACATTAGTATCTTATGTTTTTTTTTATAATTATTTTATTTAATTTTATTCATCACTATTATTATTTTCTTAATTTGACCAGAGAGATATGAAGAGAGACAGTGAGAAATGGGGAGAGTGAGAAAGCAAGTCAACAGTTCTGGGACTTGAACCATTGTCGACTGTGTGGGAGTCCAGTACCTTAAGCACTGTGCCTCCTGCCAGCCTCAGTATCTGTTTTTAAGACATCATACCTTACTTTGTCCTTAGTGCTGCCAATTTTATGTCTTGCAGGAAATAGTTCCTTGCCTTGATTTCCTCATCATTCATTCATTTCTCAATCTACTATCATCTTCATTCCACATGATTGAAACTTGTTATTTAAGTTACAAGCGATTTGGTTGCTAGATCCATAGGATACATTTTAGTTGTTCATATATTTGACAGATGTAAACACTCAGTTCCTGGAACTCTGTTTCTAGGTTTCAGATGAGAGTGGG